GGGGGGGCACGTTGAGACTATGACAACACTGACGCATGCAAGGATACAGACACACCCCTGTCACTGGCATGCCAGCTTTATGTTTCAACCAGATTACACATATTGTTAATGCTCTGTTATTAAAAGCCAAGGATTTTCCCCGTCCTCCCACCTTGTCAGTCATTTTGTTTAAATCACAAAAACACCTGAGCTCCTGTAAGTTTGAGCTTAGTCATGATCACTGGGTTGGAAAAAAAAAAATCACTGGAAACGAAATTACATCATCCGAGAATTGGGCAAAAAGTTTCACGCCAGAGTGAGAAAAGCCAAATCAAGCGTAATCACTGATGGAAAAACATTTTATGTTGGCGCACAAACTTTCATTTTCCTCAGTGTGGAAGCATGACTGGGCACCTTCTGTAAATATTTCTATATGGCCTTCCAGCACCTCCCTCCTGGCCTCAGGGTGAAAATAAAAAGAAAGGGAAAATGAGCACAGCATAGCAGAAGGTCTTACATAACAATCAAAGGAATGCTGGAACTCTGCCGGTGCCTTTTGGATCATCTCACTCTCGCACATAAAGTGGGGCCCCCTATCCCCAGAACATACCAATTCTGCAGCACAAGGCTATCTAAAAGAGCAACTCATTTAGCACAAAGTGAAGGTAGAGGCTGGGTGTGCGTAGATGTGCATAGTTTTTATTGTCTACAAGTTTTCCTTTCAAAAACATTAAATTGAATAAATTACAAAACTCACCAAGTGCCTTCACAGATACATTTACACACAATTATACGCTAGAAAATTCCTCAGAAGGTTGTTGCAAGGCGTGTACTCTGAACCCGTTTCTCACACACACACACAAAGAGCATCAAGTGTATTTAAACTTTCAGCATATCAATCATCATACCAGGATCCATCATGCTGTTGTTGAACAAACACAGGAACATGCATCCATCCACAAAGAAACAAAAGCATGGGGTGGCATGACAATACATGAATAGTGGTCTATGGTTTGTGTAAACACAAAAGATCAGTGGCCAAAGTGGAGCGCAGAGGTGGAAAATTATCCCAGGTTGTTTGAGTTCAATCTCTGCAGCCTGTTCTAAATTTCAGCATTTCCTGGCTTTAAAAAAAAAAAAAAGGGAGCAACCTCGATTGCATCTACTGCATGTGATGTCAGCTTCAGATATCTTTATAAGACACTGTTATATTTCAAACTTTGCCAAAAAGAAGAAAAAAAAAATACTGATAATCAATCTCAAAACCCAGCACTGGTGTTATCAGAGACCTTGTATTGCACTTTCACTTGTCTTTACAGGAAGTGCAACAGGAATCCTTCTCCCACTACTTTCTGACACAGGTCACACATAATGAGCCATCTTGAGTCTCAGATCACAGCTGTTAGTTCAGTCCCTTGTTCCTGGATTTATTTTGTTTTTGATTTATTAGTGTTTTTAGGCATATGATTTGACTGCCATCAGGATCTGTACGGCCATGGACACACAGGGAATCTGAGCTAAGGTGTAGGCCACGGACCGGGTCGGTGCTT